TATTTCTTTAATTGCTACAACACTGGATGCGTCAAGACAATACGAACATCAGCATTCAGCATCAGCCGTCAACCCTCTAGACACTCAGCTGCGAGCTTCTCACACCACTCTTTTGATATGTCCTACTAGCCTCATGGACAACTGGGAAGAGGAGGTTGGAAAACACACTAGAAAAAACAGCTTGAAAGTCTTGCGCTGGCATGGCACCGACAGATTCAAAATACCTCTACGTGATATCCACTCAGCCGACATTGTCATTACAACCCCAAAAACACTTATGTATGACCAACGGCTTGGTGGATCAACCCGGGTTCCTTTTACAACCAGATGGTACAGGGTGGTCATTGATGAAGCTCAGTGAGTATTCTCTCTTTGCAACCAAAGGTCTGTGACCAAACTGACCCTTTACTGGTGCCAGTGTAATTCGTAATGAAACCGCCTCCCATGCAGTCCTCACCTCTTTGGAATCAGTCAACCGGCTCTGTCTCACTGGTACTCCGCTCCATAACAGAATTGGCGACTTGCACATGCTCTTCAAATTTCTGCACATCAAACCTTTTCAAGAAGACTCAGTATGGTACCGTCAAATCACTCTGCCGGTTCATCAAGGAAATTTGGACACACTCAGCCAGCTTCTAAGATACTTCATGCTTAGGCGGACCAAATCAAGCCACCTATCAAATTTACCTCCAATATACCATGAGACCATTTTATTGGAAATGCATCAAAAAGTGAAAGCAATATATCAGCAACATTATGAAAGATTTCTTCAGGACTTTGGTGTGGAATCTCAAATCCAACATAAACAGGGTGAATATTTCAGACAATTGATGAATCTCAGGATGACATGCAATCACCCTCTTTTATTCAAGCAAGAACAAGAGCTCAATCAGACCAAGATTACGGAGATGGAGGAGGAGCTTGGAATCATGGTGCCGGATGGGAGGGCACTGACTGCTGATGCCAGGCCAGCCTACCTGGAGGACTGGTCACTGAGTAGCAAGCTTGCATACTTGGTTTCCCAGCTCAAAAAGAAGCATAGAACTTTGCATAAAGGTCTATGCAAGAAGACTGTTATCTATACCCAATGGAGGTGTTTCATGGAGTGGTAATTATATTTTATGTCTCTGTTATATCACTTGGCCTGTAAGCTAACCTGCACACCCCACAGGATCAAGATTGCTTTGGATTGTCACGGCATTGGCAGCGGCACCTTGCACGGTGACATGACAACTCATGAGAGGACATGCCAACTCAACAGATTCAAGAACGATAACAACATTGAGGCCTTTATAGTATCTATTGAAGCTGGAGGTGTGGGCTTGAATATGACCTGCGCTGACGAGGTCTATCTGATGGTGTGTTTGTTATCATTCATTCATATGTATGCAGTGGTCAATATTAGCTAAAAGTAATATCATTAGGATGCCCATTGGAATCCACAGATTGTGCAACAGGCAATTGACCGTCTACATCGAATAGGGCAGACTCACCCCGTGAAGGTGTATCATGTGGTTGCAGGGCAATCTGTTGAACAGCACCTATTCAATGTGAGTCAAGTAATCAGCTTCCAGAAAGGGCTACACTCACCATCATCTGCAAAAACATTTTATACCCCTCAGGTACAGAAGAAAAAAGCATCTCTGGCTAGAAAAATAATTACATTGTCAGTTCCAAAGGATCAACTTAAAGATTACCTCCAACCTGGGGACACAATGGATGTCATGGATGATATAGGCAATGTGAATGCATGCTATGCAGAATATGTCTAGATGATGGAGGGTTCCATCCAAAAATATATGTAGAATTTGTGTTTCAAACCGACCACAAGTGGCTTTTATCCTAGAAAAAATTCTCTTCTGTCCTTTTTTTTCTTCTTCCGAAAACAAGAGTATTGTATCTCGTAGTGTGATTACTTTTAGAGTATTGTATCTCGTAGTGTGATTACTTTGCTCACAACAATCAATACCATTGACCACTACAAAGTTTACCAAACACAGAGATGCAGGTAATAGCAAAATAAAGTACTCAGTTTTCCAAAACCATAGAATCATCA